TGGGGTCCTTGAGGATGGAGGCAGCTTTCCTACGCACCCTGCGGTGGTCGCCGACCTCCAGCAGAATAGTGTAGAGTCGGACTCTGAAAACACCAAATACTTTTACTTACCTCAATTAGAACTTCAAAACTCTCCAGGAACTGCACCATTTTAGGCATTACAACCTCTTATCTTATCTCATCCTTCAGCTCTTTAAAGAACTTCAGCCATTTCTTGTTTCTAATTGCCTACCTTGAGCACTGCTAGAGGGCAGGAAATCAGTTTTAGTTCAGTTTGACTTAAGGAGTTCTAGGTAATGGCTGTACATACAAAAACTAAAGTGCATGAATAATATGTCAAACGCTTTTATGAATTTTCAGCGGGTGTGTCAAAATAAATCAGTGACACAATGTAATATTCTGTCCCAAATACCGGTTTAGATAAACTTTTCAAAACAGAATTTTTTTAATGTGATATTTGTACATTCATTCATTCATTCATTCATTTTCTACCGCTTAATCCCTGAGCGGGGTCACGGGGGGGGGCTGGGGCACACATAACTAAAAAAAATTTGGATCAACAGAGTTATTACAATTTTACTTATTGAAATTATTGTTGAGTCCTACCATCAAAAGCTTTTCACATTATAGTTAGACCTAGGCTAGTACCCCATTAATGATCAATGTGATGGCTTGCTTGAAGGTCAGCTGTAGTAAGGCTCCACTGAACTGAATGGTATAAAGCTATTGATGTGGTGACAGTATGTTAGAGGTGATTCTGGCTCTGGCTTTTCATGTGGCTCCTGAACCACTGCTTTCAGTTGCATGGTCAAAGTTTGGTATGACGACAGCATCACAGCAGAGGCATAGTGGTTCAGAGGCCATGAAAAGAAAAACATCGAAAACCTTTATTTCTGGCATTGCTGTAATGATAAATGCAAACAGCCATTTTACGATATTTAGACATTTTCAAAACTTCATACTTTTAAAATATTTAGCTTTATTTTGAAAGTTTTGCTCCATTCAAATGAATGGGAATATTCTACTTCAGCATAATTTCAGCTATCAAAATGTTCAGCTGTTCAAGGACATTCGTGCTTCTCTTAAGATGCTTTCTAAACTTCATACATTTGAAATATTTAGCTTTATTTTGAAAATCTTGCCCCATTCAAATGAATGGGAAATTCTACTTCAGCACACTTTCAGCTATCAAAATGTTCAGCTCTTCAAGGACATTCATGCTTCTCTTTAGAACTTTTCTGAACTTCATACTTTTTAAGTAATTAGCTTTATTTTGAAAATCTTGCCCTAATCCCAGGTCTTTGCACAGCTGTATGAAACAACAGCTGTTCTTGTCACGCTGTTTAATGTAGTTCACTATTGCTATGGCATCTTTGTGTTGTCAACTATTTCAACAAAGAACTTCCACACACATCCATCCATATCTTCTCATCCTTCAGCTCTTTAAACAATTGATTTCAGGCATTTTCAGGGCAATCCTCACAATGTTTCATTTCAATAGCCACACTGTAGTAGTCCACAGGGTGTAATTGGGAATTCTCTCTCACTCACTCACTCACTCACTCACACACACCTGCTCATTTTACCTACTTTGTGGGGACGAATGAGACAATTTTCACATCTTTATAAGGTCAGCATAGTTTCAACTACAAAAGCCATTCAGGTATCAAAATGTTCTCTTCAAGGACATCCCTGCTTGTATATATTTCATCTCATCCTTCAGATAATTCAAAAAAGAACTTCAGCCAATTCTTCTCAACTATTTCAACAAAAAAACTTCAGCCATTTCTTCTCATCCTTCTGCCGTTTTGGCTATTGATTTCAGGCATTTTCAGAGCAATGCATTACTAGTTCTATATGTTATACCATTTCATGTGTAGGTTAAATGTATTTTCATTGAAAAATGTCAGTATCACACAGTATTCCACAGTTTGTTCATGATGCAGTCACAGGGTCCCAGAAAATCTCACCGTAGTCTTTTCTCGTGAGGTGTTTTATGTGATTTTGTCTAGTCTCTGTCTGCTGATAACGCTGACCGGTCTCCCGTTCAGACTGCTGGAGCTCCATTCCCCAGATGGCCAGCACACAGTGGTGCTGCGTTGTAAAGATGGCCCCACCGCCAACTCCTGGTTCACCGCTGTCCACACTAACATTGCTGCCTTGCTGCCTCAGACCCTGGTTCACATCAACGCCTACCTGGGGGCCACGTCATCGACCTCCACACACCCCCACCTTAAACACATTGGCTGGTTGGCCGAACAGGTACTCTCAGCCACATGCTGTGTTAGACGTGATCATCTTTTTAATTTGCTTTGTGCTCGTTGCTCATCTTTAACTGATTTTATACAACATCCCAGAACAGATTAAGACAAGAATAAGACAAGTCTCTGTATAATTACTTGTTGAGTGAACAGAGAAAAACAGTGACACGGATTCGGTTCTGATTAATATAGATTTGACACATGTTGCTCTCAAAAGGAAATTCAGGGGTTTTTCAGCATAGTTTACCACAGTCCCCGTTTCATTACTCTTATGTCACTGTACATACGCAGACCTGAAACACACTGTACAGCCCGACATTTCTGCTCTAATGTTATAAGTGCTGCACAACACAGGGAGAGTGTTTCCTTGAACTTGCCTTAGTTCTAAATCTAAAGGTGTCCAGTGAGAGATAAAGCAGGGCTGGTCTCAGTTCACTTGCAGGAATGATATCTTTTCACTTTAAGTGTTCATTCGGGGTCATGTTGAATGTGTGGCTGGGCTCAAACAGGAAACACAAATGGAAGTTTCCACTGCAGTACAATGTTTCCTGTAGAGCCCACTCACCACAGTTACATTCACAAACACGCTGTCTGGTTTAATATCATTTTTGTTCACTGTCTTTACACAGTCTCTCAGCCTTGGCTCAGACAAACACATATCACTGGTTTTTAAACTATAATGCTATTACAAATTCAGGGCAGACTGTCAGGGCGAGCTACTTAGCTCCTCTCCAGCTGCACTGCCACAGTACATCATTATGCTTGTTTGTCAGACTGCATCACTAGAACTGTACTGCATAGCCTGTTTTAGTCTATACCCTATAGTACTGTACCTTTACCCATACCCTGTAGTAGTTTGTACCTTCCTCTCTCTCAGTTTACTGCCTTTTGTATGAGGTCGTATATACACAGAAATGATTCATGACATTATTTTTAAAACAGCCTCACTTTACTAAAACTTTCCAGCAGGTACTATACATAAGTACTGTATATCTGTACTCTGTCATGCCACAGTAATACTGTACCCCATTCCCTATGGTTGTTTATGCCCCATCAGACCTTTTTGAAAGCTCTTACACGCTTTAAAAAGTGATGAATGATATGATGTGTCATCAGCACAAGTGAACTACTGAGTGGAACTGGAGAACACATCTGCTCAGTTTTCTAACTTATATAAGCCTAATTATAATAAAATATTTTCTGAGAGTTAGAGGAAGGCTCTTACGTGCAGGGTGACTGTGGTCACAGGAAATGGGTGTAGTTCTGCTTTTGACATGTCTGTCTTCTTCAGGTCCAACTGGAAGGTGGACGGACGCAGTACAAACCGGTGGTTATGGCACTGACGGAGAAGGACATTCTTCTGTTTGAATCGGTGCCATGGAGCAGAGAGGCCTGGTCCGTGCCTCTGCTTACACACCCACTGTTGGCCACCAGGTGAAGTCAACAGACAGCAGCATGATTCAGCTGAAGCTTTACACTGTGGAAATGTTCTAATAAACAGCTGAAGAGAACTTGAGCCAGTCGTACAGGAGTCTTGCCAGTTCACGTTATCTTTGCGCGATAACTTTAAGAACATTAAGTGTGCTTGAATTTTAATGGATGCGTCTATCTCTCCAGGCTGGTCCATTCTGGCAGTGTCCAGGGATCTCCTGCCCAGGGCTCAGACCTGGTGTTTGCCACTCGGACAGGCACGGGCCGGGGCATCGAGTCCCACGTCTTCCGAGTGGAGAGCCACTGGGATTTGTCTTCCTGGACTCGAGCCCTCGTGCAGGGGGCACACACTGCCGCGGAGCTCATCAAGGAAGTCTCCATTGGTGAGTGTGGGTGTGTGCGCTTGCATGAGATTGTTCTATAGTAAGTCCATAGCTGAGTTCGCTCTGAATACTGGCCTCGGGTTTTTGGGAAGGATGTTCACTTCATATACAGCAGTGTAACTACCATGATGATTGGTTCTAGGGACGGGCAATGATGTTCAAACTTTCAAATAGTCAATAAAAAAAAAAAAACTACTAATATTTCATGTGACTACGGTTTTGTCTTTAAAAACAAAGAGCTGCTGTTTTCCCTTGCTTTTACCAGCACCTGGAAACGCGTTAATGAGGTCAGTATATCATTTGACTACTGCACCAAATCCAAACGGCAGAAACACTCCAAGACCACAGCCATGAAAAAGTTCTGTGTGGAACTCCTTAGAGAAAGTACATGACAATGAGGTGCAGTGAAAACTGCCAGGTTAAGCATATCATAAATCGACAACACCTCTGTACAGACATTAGAAGGCATCGGGCAGAAAGTGGGGCGTGGTCTGCAGATCAACTGTCAGTGGCTTTGTCACCTGAAGAAGTTTGATAATAATCAGTATAATATTAAAAAAGATGACACTGGTAAAACAGGACTGCTACATAAAGAGTACTTTTACTTTTGGTACTTTCTGCCTATAGTATTTTTGTACTTCTATAAATTACATGGAGAACGTTTACTTGTATGAGCGTATTCTGGTATTGTTATTGAGGTACTGTGTACCAGAATGAGGAAAATGTATGTGCTGATATTTTAAAAAGTATTATTCTCACTGATCTATCAAGGTAAACAAGACATACCAATTGTACACGAGGGTTTTTTTTTTCAGCTATGTACAGGACTTAATTATTTATATATACAAAATATTTGAATGTTGACATACTTCGACGGTGACAGGAAGTCCTTGATACCAACTGCATCAGAAAGAGTAGCTCTGTGTAGGAAAAGCAGAAGCAGGAGCCAGCATCGGTGAATGTTTCCACTCTGTACAGAACAATAGTTTGGAACAGCGCTGGGACAGTAACACACACTGAGTACACTATGACCTGAGTACAGTTAAAGCTGCCCCAGGCTGGACTTTCATGCCTCGGTGCTGGCAATCCATACAGCCCATTCTTGTGAACATGATATCTCAGGAACTGATTTGATTTCGGTGGTCAAAGTTCAAAGGTCACTGTGACTTGGTGTTTCTCCCAGTCTTGTGAACATGATATTTCAGGAACACCATGAGGGAATGTATTCAAATGAGACACAAGTGTCTACTTGGATCCAGTGATAAACTGATAAGATGTTGGTGATCAGAGGTCAAAGGTCAGTGGCCTCAGTTCTGTCCCATATCCATGGATTTGACTGGATGGTGCAAAGTGGTAATTCTAGTTATATGCGGTAGACTTATCTTTGGGTTGCACTAGAGAGGAACATCCCACCCAGTTTAATTTTTTTAGATGCTGTAGCTTAACTTTGTTTGTTTGTGTTATTATGTAGGGGACAAAAATGGTCACTGATGACATTTTGTTAATATAAGAGGGTTTACAAGTTACAACATACCTATTAGACCCTAAGAACAGATTTAGATTGCTGGTAACGCGCAGTGTGGCTTCAACCTTTGAATAGGGCCCGGGGCAGCACAGTGGCGCAGTGGTTAGCACCGTTGCCTCACAGCGAGAAGGTTCTAGGTTCGGGCCCCACCCGGGACCTTTCTGTGTGGAGTTTGCATGTTCTCCCCGTGCTTGTGTGGGTTCTCTCCGGGTACTCCGGCTTCCTCCCACAGTCCAAATACATGCAGGTTAGGTTGATTGGTGTCTCTAAATTGCCCATAGGAGTGCGCGTGCGTGTGTGTGGTTGTTCGTCTATGTGTTAGCCCTGCGATGGATTGGTAACCTGTCCATTGCCCAATTTGCCGGCTGGGACTTCTTCCAGGTTGCACATTGAACAGGCAGGACGTTCGGCTGATCCTGCACTATGAGAAGGGCTTCACTGTGACAAGAGAGCCGGCTGACCCACCTGGGGGCACTGTGCTGTACAGATACCCCTACGAGAAGCTCAAAATGTCCGCTGACGATGGAATACGCAATCTTTACCTTGACTTTGGGGGCCCAGAGGGAGAAATGGTACGTAGCTGTGGAAACAAGACATACTGTAATATTTTAGAGGAAGAAGAAGCTTTATTTTATTGTCATTGTAACATTGTGACACAACGAATTTTGTCTGGAGCCGAGGGCCCCGGGCCGCTGCGTGCGTACACACTGCCATCACGGGCAGCTTGGGTTCAATTTACAAGCTGTCAAATGGATTCACCGTTTTATGACAGCCATCTTGGCTTTCATTATCAATAATAAATTGATTAGTTTTTATTGATCATTTAGTGAAAAAAACTTGAATGAATTTATTATGAGATTATTAATCACAATTTTGTTCTTACTGTTTATAAATGAATGAACTAATACTTTTGTCATAAATGTGATAGAGAATCTACGTCATAGTGACTGACTACAGAGTGAGTATTGCCTTATCTCGGTGATTCAGGTACACATGGTTTTCTAATTACAGTTATATCTCAGAGGTTTGATAAGGAAACGCAAAGACTAAAGAATCACAGACTTGTCAAACATCAGTACCAATGTTCTTTGTTGCCTTGTACTTTGGTGATGTAAACTAATCATTTATTTTGCTGACCTCATACTAATTCTCCATCACTGCATTGCCCTTAATATTTTGGAGAGTTAGTAGCACACGGTATTAACTGATTGGAACATTTTGAAGCCAAAATCCATAACTTTGGTACTGGCTTCTAAGCTCTGAGGACCTTTTGGTTGGATATCATTGCAGATTGAATATTTTGTGGTGACTGGACAAAATAAGCAACTTGAAAGTGTTCTGAGCTCTTGCTGTCCTGCACTAAAGTCTGCATGTGTAGAAACAGCTGTCTGACCACATATGACGTAGTTTTACAAACAGGGCAGGAGGGGAGAAGAGGACCAGAGGGAGAAGAGAGTGGATACTGCTTGAGTTTGTTTTGACTCTCACGTCACCTTTAATGGTCAAAAATTAGAAAGAAAAGATAGTTAATGCGTTTTAGAAAATGCAGCTGAGGATTGAGAAGCAAAGAGTAGGACATGCAACCCGACAGAATAGACCTTGTCCAAGGGTGTTTTTCCAGTCTCTTATATGGGTCATCGTTTTCCTCACTTGCGTCTTCTTCTCACCTCTTAGTCCCACCCACGTAAGATGCGAGAAGAAAAAAAACACAAGGAAATCGTGACTTGAGAAAACATGTTATTAAAGACAAGACATCCTTTCCTCCTCTCCTTTATCTGAAGCATCCAATCACCAACCAATTTATGATAAAGAGGCATGGCAGTTCATAAAAAACTTCCACAAGGGATGGTCTCATGTATCCTTGCTCATAGCTTCTCCAGCAGCCTCCTCGCTCCTCAGAGTCAGTATAAGATACTTGGAATGTCCTTGATCCTCAGTCAACTGGAAGGACACCCGGGTTGAGAAAGGATCAAATCCCAAGGAACTATCCTATAAGAGACATGAAACACACCCTAGGTGAATCCCAATTCTCTTATTTTACAAAGAGAGTTACACTGACTTGGCTGCTATCTTCTAAAGTAAGAAGTTGAAATCACTCACTTGAAGAAGGTTCTGGGTTCGAGCCCCAGCCGACCCGGGGCCTTTCTGTTTGGAGTCTACATGTTCTCCCTGTGCCTGCGTGGGTTCTCTCCAGGTTCTCCTGCTTCCTCCTCCTCCAGTCCACAGACATGCAGCTTAGGTTGACTGGTGACTCTAAACTGCCCGTAGGAGTGAATGTGGTTGTTTGTCCACATGTCAGCTCTGTGACAGACTGGCGACGGGTCCAGGGTGTACCCCACCTCTCGCCCAGTGTCAGCTGGGATTGGCTCCAGCCCCCCCGTGACCCTGTCCTGGAATAAGTGGTATAGATTAATGGATGGATGATTATACTTGACATTTTAAGTTACAGGTGTCAAAACATTTATACACATGTTCTACAGCCTTTTTGACTGTCTCCCTCAAATATTGTTTCCCTTTAATAACTAGCTAATTAGCTGAACTATCTACAACAGAACCCCGCATTGGTTTGCAAGGCTGTTCATCATTAAAAGTAGTAATTTGCTGATAAATCCCGCCGTTAATCACCCGCTTGGAACAGTTTGAAGCTACATGAGTCACATGACCTGCTGCCATTTTCTTCTTTTGGGTTCCTGGCTACAGTAATAGTTCCACAGAAGTAGAACTCTCCACGCTATGTCTGAGACATTGCCTGCTTACAGTATAATTCACTAATTCAAAAACTGCATTAATGCAACTATGGAGTGAGGAGGAGTGACTACTTATGTTAGGTACAGATGAAAGGAATGTAAGAATACAGAAATTAACTGATTTCATATGTAAAATGCTACCAATTATCTTTCATTTTAGCAAAAGCAGGGAGGGGGTCAGATATCTTACAAAGGATTCTTATGACTAAAAGTTACCTTTATGTTACATCCTTATTTGTCTTTTTTCCTGGCAATCTGCCTTTGTTGTTTTCCTCCTTCCACCTTCCCTCTCTCACATCTTTCCTCCCTCCATGCTCCAGGTATTTGACCTCCACTCTGGTCCAAAGCCAGTGGTGTTTGTCCTCCACTCCTTCCTGTCAGCCAAGCTCACTCGTATGGGCCTGTTGACGTGAAGCAACCAACAACAGCGGTGTGGATGAGAGGATGGGCCTACGCACAGTGGGGATGGGAGGATGCCTCTAAAATACCAATCATGTGATTAACGTTTTTATTTTAGCTTTTCCAGTTTTCTTCTTTCACAGCTGAAGTTAAGCTTGAGGTGATGCTGCAGTGAAAATGAGTTGTATTGTTGATTGTCTCAAAAAAAACGCCTTCTCTTCCAGTTTCTCCTCGGCCACCTGCAGCAATTGCAAGGCCAGGTGAACGTAGGTGACACTTTGTTTGGCGACATGAGGTGTTGGAAAATAGTTGCAACACACAAAGATTAGCTCTTAACAATCTCATAACATTCCATATAAAATTGTAATCATTGTCATTATCCAATATGATGTAAAAAGAAAAAGATGCTGAGATGAGTTTGAGATTACATCACCAGTTTGCTTCAGGCTAAGTGTTAAAAGGAACAAGTTTAAGATGATGAACACACAGCCAAGCACAGATAGGTAATTCATCCTTTCTTTACTCTGTCATTCCACGACAGCCTTCCAATGTACTTTGGGCTCTTTTTAATGGATTTGTTTGTCTTTGTGCAAGTGGCTGAAGCTGTTTTAGTCACATTGCAGTTACTGAGCAGAGATTGTGTGAATGAAAAGAGGTCCGTGTGTGTCTGTCTGTACTACATGCTTCTCTTGGCTTGATAGTGTGCCTGCTTTTTGACAGACTCACCTTTTCACACATTATCCCAAGCTACTGTTGTAATCAGGAGCACCAACTATGCCTTTTTACATGTGGTCAAGACTCTTTGTAATGTTTCCTGTTTCAGGAGCGCCAACTGTGCCTTTTTACATGTGGTCAAGACTCTTTGTAATGTTTCCAGTTTCACACAGTGAGAGATTTTTAAGCTTTTGACACACAAGCAATAGTATTACTCTTATAGTGTAAACATTACTTTTTTGTCATTAGTTTTTTAAGTGTATAGCTCATGATAGCATGACTCGCTGACATTGAACTCTGTATCAGATGATGGTATATGACATGACAGTGTATTACCTCCCATTTAGTACCTACACTACCACATTGTCTACATCTCCATGTCCCTGCCATCTCCTTTCATTCCTCTGCTTGAGATTACTTGTCTCTTGTCACCATTCCCACATCATGTCCCTGGCCAGCAGGCTTGTTTTAAGGTGGGCCATCACTTGACAGAGGTACCAGTGTATGTTAATAATTTATATTAGATTATTATATAATAATAATATTATGTTATATTATATTATTCCCAAGGTCAAGAATGAACTTGTATGATTGTATGAAACCTGAATTGAACTCGTTAGCAAACACTGTCATGGCAGCAGTTTGTTTATCTGATGTCTTTGTGATGGTTGGACAACTTTTTTTTGCTCGTTTATGAAAGCAAACCTCTAACCATATAGCTCCTAGACCTACATATATAACTCTTTTTCAAGCTATGATTGAGTGGCTCTGTTAAAAGATAAGCATACTTTGCTTCCCTTAAAACAATATGCATATGTGGGAGGTTTGAGCTATATTTGTCCTGACATGAAGTCCTCTTCTGTCATCCTACTATTTCACAATGCTTTTCATTTCATGTTAATCACGCTTCTCCAACTGGCTGCATAGAATTGATTGTCTGAAGCTGGTCAACCTTCAACAAGCTATAGGCGGTGCCTCTTTGAGCTTGAATAACTAACCTGTGCACTAAATAACCCCTTTAAACCTGTGAATGTACTCTTCTCTTCCTTGTAATGTTTTTTAAAGCCTCCTTGCTCTTTATTTCTGAAATTGTGGCTATCCCGTCTATACAAAGCAATGCTTCTACCAAAAGTAATATCTGTGGCAGCTTGCGTCCAACACAATCATTAAACTGAAAGGTTACAAGAGGATAAGGTGCTGCTGCAACAACCAGTCATATGCAAAGTATTTTAAACTTCCTTCCAAGATACAGTATACAAGGTATGATTGTAATAATCTCAAATGTAAATACCTACCAATAAAACTGTTTTAATTTCGTGTGTGGTTTGTTGTGAGGGTTAGAACATTTAGATGTTATGTCCTGTAATACAGACAGTACTGTACTTCGATTCATTCATTGTGGGGTATAAGTATGGAGGACCAAAACTTTATATTTGATTATGGCAGTTTTGGTCCTCCATAATTATATATGTACTTCAGGTATAAAACAAATACGGCCACTAGGTGGCGGTAGGCGCAGTCCCGGGAAGCATTTGCCACTCACCCCAGTTGCTAGTATTAGCAACTGTCATACGGCCGAAAGATGTCAACTTATCACTTCAAATGAAACTTGGGTAGTTGTATAGTATTTACGATGTCCTGTTAACTAAAGCGTTGTAATTTTCATTTAACGAAGATCCCATCCATAACATATTTTTGATTAGGCTGGTGAATAGGTGTAACCTTGTCATATTTGGGACATATACACTTGGTGTAATATTTTGGAAAAATTGACCGGAAGTTACCTGTGTATTAGCTCCCTTGTCGGTAGACGCAGTGTTGCTGTGGTTTTGTTAGGTGAGGCGGAACCATTATCTTTGCTAGCTAGCACATTAGCAACTGTTCTTATCATGTGAAGAGCAACCTGTCACCTCACAAGAGACTGTTAGCATTTCTTCGCTTTTCCACCTTCGGTGAGGATCAGAGGGGAGGTATCTGGGCAGATAACAAAAGAGTGAGATGAAATGACAACGTCAACATTACAGGTGGGTTATTAGCTAGCTAGCTAACGTTAGCTTGGAATCTGCTGTACAATGGACATAACGTTAGCTTAACCGTTACAGCAGCTTCACTGCAAGCTAGCTTGCTAGCAAAACAGTTGACGCTAAAGCCAGCTAATGTTAGCAAGGTAGTTTGGTGAACGCTAACTGAGCCTGGAAATGTTTCTGTTCCGTTGTCTTGAAAATAACAACACCGCTAACATATAACGTTACTGTACTTTTGTAACCACATGATATATGATTTTGAATAATTAATAATCAGCTCCGTGGATTGCTAGCTAGCGTTAAACCTTTACTGGACAATGCTTATAACAGTACCAGTCGCTAACTTAGCGTTAGTTGGGCTATGGCTCCTGCTCGCAGACAATAAACACGGGGAAAAACAGACTAAGGTTATGAAGCGTCTTATTCAACCGATTGGCTTAAGAAACGGCATAGGCAGCACAAAACATAAAACAGTCCAGTGAATGTTGTCGTAGAGCCAGAGACACTATCGTAACGTTATGACATGTTAGTTCTGTAACCTGCTGATGCTTTGTTGGTTGAAGCTCCAGCGTTGACATGTGGATGACTAGCACATCTGTACATTCCCTGCCTTTACTTCGGTGTCTCCACCCCCAAGCCATCGCACATTTGTCCTCTGACATTGTTAATCTCTATCGGTTTCAGAAAGCGATTGATCTTGTGACCAAAGCCACGGAAGAAGACAAGGCAAAGAATTATGAGGAGGCCTTGCGCCTGTATCAGCATGCTGTGGAATATTTTCTTCATGCCATCAAATGTGAGTATTGCAGCCTGACATGTAGTTGAACTACCCTTCTGTTGGTACAAGGTGGGCTCTATTCTCATTGCCACTTGAAATGAAATCTTTCCTTTAGATGAGGCCCACAGCGACAAGGCAAAGGAAAGCATACGAGCAAAGTGCATGCAGTACCTGGACCGAGCAGAGAAACTTAAGGACTACTTGAAGAATAAAAACAAACAAGGCAAGAAGCCAGTCAAGGAGGCACAGAGCAATGACAAGTATGCTTTCATTTTCCTGCTGTATCAGAGAACATGTTCAAGTGTCAGGTTCGGAAATGGGCTTTGATTGTATTGTCATGCTTTTATTCAAGGAGTGATAGTGACAGTGAAGGTGAAAACCCAGAGAAGAAGAAACTCCAGGAGCAACTTATGGGTGAGTGGGCGTGTATGAAATTAGTTGTAATCTAGTGGATATTTGTGTGAGATTTGATACTTTATGGAAAATACTGCTCTCCTTATCTATGAAAATACATGACATACTGACATACAGTATGTTAGCTTTTTTTACTAGTGGTCTTATCATTGCCAGGCCTACAGCTGGATGTTTGCCATTGCTGTACAGTATGCATTTCAACGGTGTCAAGGACTTAATCATGTTTTGCCTGTTCGTTCAGGTGCTATTGTAATGGAGAAGCCCAATGTCAGGTGGAATGATGTGGCTGGACTGGAGGGGGCCAAGGAAGCACTGAAGGAAGCCGTCATCCTGCCCATCAAGTTTCCTCACCTCTTCACAGGTACTGCTGGATCTTCTCCCTCATGTTTATACCCACGAATTATCATACACTGACATCGAAAGTTAAAAAGACATGGAAAAGGAAAATATATTTTTAGCTTTGCTTGAAGATAAAAATGTATATTATTTGTTGTTTTCTGATATCGACCAATCTACAGAATATATTTGGCATCAATTCTCTGAATTCAGCTTCTCAAATGTGAGGATTTGCAACTTTTTGTTACTTTGATATTTTTGTTTTATATCACTGTAAATGTGATCTCTTTGTATTCTAGATTGTGGGTTGCAACATTTGAAGGCCATTTTCAAGTTTCTTTTGTTTTATAGACTGTTAATTTGAGAACATAAGGATGAATCTAGGGCTATATGATAAATCTATTTGTGAGGGTGATTTAGATCCCCGTGAGATCTCAGTCTCAAGTGACAATGATTCTGCCATGTTTGCATTAGCAGGGAGATGCTTGTCTCAAACCAAGCACTCCCTTTTCCTCACTAAGATGCGTTAACCAATATAAACAAATCTAACATGTTTGACATTGTGAAGAATAGTCTGTGCCATCCTGCAACTATTTATCAAACGTTGCGCTGCCTGCCCTGTTCACCTGGCGCAGAATAGCAGGCAGAAGTAAATCACTTTGAGGTTATTGGTTACCACTGGTTAACAGTTACTGGTTAACGCAGCTTAGCAAGAACGCAGCTTAGCGAGGAAAAGGAGCACTTGGTTTGATGCAAGGCATCTCTGTGCTAATGCAAACATGGCAGAATCATTGTCATGTGTCTGAGATCTAAATCACGCTCGCATATTAATTTATTGTGCAACCCTAGATGAATCCATGGTGACAATTAGTTTGTAGTCTCACTACATAATACCTGAAATGTCACTTTAGATGTTTTTGGATTGTCATTCCAACCTTACCTGTATAGTGGATGTTGTTCTGCTACTCCTTTTGTAAAAGCTTTCCATAATGTTATCATGTAAAGTGACTTAGTTGTCATTTGCTCTGGACTGGCAGGACCGGCCGTGGGACACTACCCTACTAATGTGTCCACGTGTTTTCTTCCCTAGTATGACTGACATTACTTCTGGGTTTCTCTGTTCAAAGGCAAGCGGACTCCATGGCGAGGCATCCTGCTGTTCGGCCCTCCAGGGACGGGAAAGTCATACCTGGCTAAGGCTGTGGCAACGGAGGCCAACAACTCCACCTTCTTTTCTGTCTCTTCTTCAGACCTCATGTCCAAGTGGCTGGGAGAGAGTGAGAAGTATGTTCTGTCTTCAGAGTTGGCTGTCGCAAACGACTCTATTATAAAGAAGGAATGTCAGGACATGATCTATTCAGAAATATATTATGGTAAAGGAATAAAGCAGAATGATTCTGTTTCCCATGTTCATTGTAGTACAGATTTTCAGCCTACTTAGTGGAAATCTGACTCTTCACCCCTTTTGAATTTTTAAGCTGATCAAACTGAGTTTAATGATGCACTATATGATATCGACACCCTCCATTGAACCTACAGTCAGGTCCATAAATATTGGGACATCGACACAATTCTAACATTTTTGGCTCTATACACCACCACAATGGATTTGAAATGAAACGAACAAGATGTGCTTTAACTGCAGACTGTCAGCTTTAATTTGAGGGTATTTACATCCAAATCAGGTGAACGGTGTAGGAATTACAACAGTTTGCATATGTGCCTCCCACTTGTTAAGGGACCAAAAGTAATGGGACAGAATAATAATCATAAATCAAACTTTCACTTTTTAATACTTGGTTGCAAATCCTTTGCAGTCAATTACAGCCTGAAGTCTGGAACGCATAGACATCACCAGACGCTGGGTTTCATCCCTGGTGATGCTCTGCCAGGCCTCTACTGCAACTGTCTTCAGTTCCTGCTTGTTCTTGGGGCATTTTCCCTTCAGTTTTGTCTTCAGCAAGTGAAATGCATGCTCAATCGGATTCAGGTCAGATGATTGACTTGGCCATTGCATAACATTCCACTTCTTTCCCTTAAAAAACTCTTTGGTTACTTTTGCAGTATGCTTTGGGTCATTGTCCATCTGCACTGTGAAGCGCCGTCCAATGAGTTCTGAAGCATTTGGCTGAATATGAGCAGATAATATTGCCCGAAACACTTCAGAATTCATCCTGCTGCTTTTGTCAGCAGTCACATCATCAATAAATACAAGAGAACCAGTTCCATTGGCAGCCATACATGCCCACGCCATGACACTACCACCACCATGCTTCACTGATGACGTGGTATGCTTAGGATCATGAGCAGTTCCTTTCCTTCTCCATACTCTTCTCTTCCCATCACTCTGGTACAAGTTGATCTTGGTCTCATCTGTCCATAGGATGTTGTTCCAGAACTGTGAAGGCTTTTTTAGATGTCGTTTGGCAAACTCTAATCTGGCCTTCCTGTTTTTGGGGCTCACCAATGGTTTACATCTTGTGGTGAACCCTCTGTATTCACTCTGGTGAAGTCTTCTCTTGATTGTTGACTTTGACACACATACACCTACCTCCTGGAGAGTGTTCTTGATCTGGCCAACTGTTGTGAAGGGTGTTTTCTTCACCAGGGAAAGAATTCTTCGGTCATCCACCACAGTTGTTTTCCGTGGTCTTCCGGGTCTTTTGGTGTTGCTGAGCTCACCGGTGCGTTCCTTCTTTTTAAGAATGTTCCAAACAGTTGTTTTGGCCACGTCTAATGTTTTTGCTATCTCTCTGATGGGTTTGTTTTGTTTTTTCAGCCTAATGATGGCTTGCTTCACTGATAGTGACAGCTCTTTGGATCTCATCTTGAGAGTTGACAGCAACAGATTCCAAATGCAAATAGCACACTTGAAATGAACTCTGGACCTTTTATCTGCTCATTGTAATTGGGATGAGGGAATAACACACACCTGGCCATGGAACTGCTGAGAAGCCAATTGTTCCATTACTATTGGTCCCTTAACAAGTGGGAGGCACATATGGAAACTGTTGTAATTCCTACACCGTTCACCTGATTTGGATGTAAATACCCTCAAATTAAAGCTGACAGTCTGCAATTAAAGCACATCTTGTTCATTTCATTTCAAAGTATAGAGCCAAAAATGTTAGAATTGTGTCGATGTCCCAATATTTATGGACCTGACTGTATTTCTGATACAGACTGGCCGAACCCCCAGTCTTTCTCAGGAAAATTGTGCTTCTCCTTTAATATTGCTGTGTCAATGTCCCGGTGTCTTCCAGGCTGGTGAAGAACCTGTTTGACCTGGCTCGCCAGCACAAACCATCAATCATCTTCATTGATGAGGTGGACTCGCTGTGCGGCTCCAGGAATGAGAATGAGAGCGAGGCTGCCCGCCGTATCAAAACAGAGTTCCTGGTCCAGATGCAGGGTGAGCCACAATTAGACTGACACAGTGAGAATGTATAATGACAAAGATGATGTATCAAATGATGTATACTGTTTTTAACTTTATTCAATCAGAGTAGTTTCACTGAGAGTCAGCCTCTTTTTTCCAGGAACGTCCTGATCACATTCACACCTGGAAGCTGCTCAGTACAGCAGCACAGTCTATACAATGGAACAGTATCACTTTTAGTGACAAATGGCTGTGAAATGTACAAAATCCAGTGAGAGATGATGTTGGCTGAAGCTCTCTGGTTTTGTAGGTGTGGGAAACAACAACGATGGTATCTTGGTACTGGGAGCCACCAACATCCCCTGGGTGCTAGACGCTGCCATCCGCAGAAGGTCAGATCACTATCCTACCTCATGCTTGCATATATTCATCTCACCCTTGGTTTGTTTTACAGAGGTTTTTGGGTATCATTAGCATAGCCCAAGTTTTTTCCATCTTGGTCAGTCAGAGGAGACGTTTCACTGGAGCTGTTAATGGTGATCCATGGCCACTGGAACACTGTCTCTAGGTTCAATGAGTGTTGCTTTAATAGTGTATTAATGTCAAGTGTTCATGTTTGTCCCCTCCACTGTTCCACTATCAAACTCAGAAGGGCCATGTGTTACTGGAAAGCAATACTGGAGATGACTTTCAGTTCTATATCACTGTCATGCAAAGACAGCGATAAAGTTAGTGAATGGATGTCCCACACAGATCCCACACTATCACTTGGTTGAGGATAATACTATGTAGCATTTTTATGAGTTTTTGCGTTGGTCTGTGGCTACAGAAATGCTGGACTCCCTGTGATAGATGCTCCTGTTTAGCCTACATTCAGCTCAGGCAGTGTTCACAAGCCCCGTCGGTGTGTTAGAAACCTTTGTGATCTGAACAGCCGGTGAACATGCGATTAAATGGAGCTTGTCCTCTGCCGTGTGTCAGATTTGAGAAGCGTATCTACATCCCTCTGCCGGAGGAGCCGGCTCGGGCTCAGATGTTCCGTCTTCACCTAGGCAACACACCACACAGCCTGAGCGAGGCCGACCTGCGGCAGCTCGCCCACAAAACAGACGGCTACTCTGGAGCCGACATCAGCATCATCGTCCGGGATGCTCTCATGCAGCCGGTTAGGAAGGTCCAGTCTGCCACGCACTTCAAAAAGGTGACCTCATGAGAAACCTTAAATCCTCTCTCAGCTGTCATTTTCCATGACTTCTGTACATGTTGCATTACCGTTTTGTGTGTGTGTGTGTGTGTGTGTGTGTTTTCTGGTTGTTACTGTGCAGGTTTGTGGTCCATCCCGAAGCAACAACCAGGTGATGGTGGATGACCTCTTGACGCCTTGTTCACCCGGCGACCCTGCAGCCATAGAGATGACCTGGATGGATGTGCCTAGTGATAAGCTACTGGAACCTATAGTCTGCATGGTGAGATACACACATACAATGAATCATCTAGAAACAAACTTCTTTTTCTGAACTGCTGTGCTGCAGCTCTTCATGTCAGACCTCTTGTCTTCCACTGCCTCTAGTGTGACAACTGGACCGGATCTTCACCCTGTCCATTAACCCAATACTGTGACTTTAACTTGGAATTTGTGATTGATGACAGATTGAAATGTACTGTGTATTCGTCCTTTATCACACATACTTAGACTTTTATCACTTATTTGCTGGTTTACTTCCCTTTGTCAGAAGGACAAGAAATAGTGGCAGGGTGGTGTTAACCTCAGCTCTAAAGTTTGGTTTTATCCCCGAAGCCATTAGACTAGAAATAAACAGAAATGGCCAGTCTAGCCTGTGCACATAAACCAGCAAATGCTCCTACACTCCTCACTTCTGCACTTTAACATAATATTGAACATGACATGTTGGCTATTGCAGCAAATGTCAGGCCACTGTGATTAAAATAAAATCCTTGTATATTCCAGCTCTTTGCGATATTTTCATATTTTGATTGCTTTTATGTGTAAAACTGAAATGTGTGTACTTCTGTTTACAAAGGTTTGCTTCAGATTTCCCCTGGAGGGATGAATGAAGCATTTTCATTTGAATTAATTAAACGGTATGCCACCATACTGTGCTGTGTTAGATATACACTGTAGAGTGCCAACCACCAATCAAAAATCAATGACAGGGTATGTGTTAATAATGTCTCCTCCTCTTTAGCTTTCTCGTCTTCATGCCAGTTGTGTATCTTGGTTACAGTGGTGGCTCTCGAACCCAATTCATATGCGCTGTCTTTAGATGTGATGTGAATGATTTCAAGCAGACCCTTGTCCTCCAGTGTTAATCAGTCTGCAAGCGGTAGCTACCCACTTAGCTATCGCTGTGGAAAGTTTATTCAGGCGTCTCCATTGCAAACTATCCAGCGTGGTCTGCCTTTGGTGAGCTGTGTGCTTGGCCAGCAGGTGACATTTGAAACTCATCGTACTGCACTGGTAACTCAGTTCACAAGGCCTAGGGTCATAATTACACATCAGAAACATTGGGGGTGTTAAAAGGAATTAGCCTAACATGTTATTGCATGAACTTTACCAGCACTAATTATAACATGATCAGTAGCAAAGGTCAGCCAATGGAAATCAGGCAGGATGATGGACAAATTAATAAATAAAAAAAATCACTGAAACAAAAATGACTCGTCTCCTCTCCTTTGCAGTCGGATATGCTGCGCTCTCTGTCCACCACCCGTCCTACTGTCAACACTGAAGACCTGCTGAAGGTGAAGAAGTTCACAGAAGACTTTGGGATGGAAGGCTGAGAGACAGAGCCCCCACCCTGCCCCGCCTCTCCCCAAGTCCATCAGAAGGGTCAAACAGCTCATCTTCCTCTCTGCTGCTATACCATCCTGTAGGCTGTTGCTTGGTTCACTGCCTCTCAGGGATGTCAAATAAATCACTGGTCTGTTTAAAGAAAATGACAAAAAATCCAGTTTCCTATTTCTGAATATCCAGTCCAGTGTTTTTGACTCCTTGGAGGACGTAGACCAAATGCAACAATAGAAAATTTGGTCTAATTGGGTAGTTGGACAGTAGAGCCCTTGTCTTTCCCCTGTTTGGGACAAGGTCCTGTTGTAGAGCAGCCACTAAAGTGCATTCACTACAGGAACTTCTCATCTAAGCTGCACCAACACTAGAAAAGCTGCATTTGAGTCTAAAGGCTTAAAGTTTGTCCCTCTCTGAGCCGACTGTGTCTCTGACTGAAGACTGTGTATTTTGTTGCCATTGTGCACTTTGCTTTGGATCACAGTGAAGGACAGTGATGTTCAAAGAAACAGAAGAAAGTAGCTCTACTGCTAGATGTACAAGTGTGTGAATGCATCTGTTTTTATTAAACGTACGTGTCTGCTTATGTGTATATGTTAGGAGCTCTATTACTTTATTTGACAAGGAGTTAAATTGATTATTGCTGCCTCCATGTCCTCCGTGTGTGTGTCACGCCTGTACCGCAGTGCTAAGCATTCATGCTCAGTATTTATAGAACAAGAGATGTGCTTAGTTCCACAATCCAAAAACTTGACAGAGGTTTTGAAAAGAAAAATCCTCTTTGCCCTTGAGGTAACATTCTTACTAAGAAGCTGCTCCGGAGTTTTGAATCATATCACGTTTTTCCTCAGCAGAACAAGCTTATATATTTGTCATGGGATTGTAGATATTGAACTTGTTTCTGTAAGGACTTACACCCTTGAAAACAGCAGTTACACAGGTGGAAAACTGTTTGTGGTAACATCTTAAGCTTTCAGTCACATCATATGAAGAAAAAGGCAGGGAAAAAAGTTTTAACGTGCTCCAAAAAAGTTTAGAATTCCATGACAACTGGCTGAAATCTGTCAGCTGATGATGATCGTGCCATGATCACAAGCTCCACAACAGCTACTAAACAGGCGGTGGCGACAGTTTTCTCAACTAATTCCAATGACAAGAATGAACTCTGTACAGTCCAGTTGCTATTTAAATAAGCAGTGCATTTCCCAGAATCCACTTGTCTGCCAGACTCCTCCTTTTGTTGAAGTTTGTGTTTAGGCAGTGGTCTGTTAGCACGGATGAATGTCGGTGCTTAAACCCACATAATCCAGCATGTCTCTGCTTTGCCCTGATGCACATTGTTGAACAGTGTTAGAGAAAATTATCTATACACTTGACATGTAACCTGACTTGAAGTATTTCTTTCATTGATGGGGCTCCGGTGAGTTTTTTTTTTCTTTTGGGGAGGCTAATTACACTCTCAACTAACACTACTATATTGTTTGTTGCTGTGTTCAGGCCTGGCTTTCCTTTGCAAGTTTCAGACAGAATGGAAAAGCAAGGCCTGTTTCCTGGCGAGGAGCAGGACACAGGCAGCCAGTTTTAAATCACCTTTAACATTGAACTGTTATTGGATGTCTGTTGTGTACCGACTCTTTGACCTCTCACTATTACATCAGGCTTGTCTGGGCGACCTGTTGATGGGACAGCTTGGGATAGCTCATTGCTAGAGTCGCTGTGTGTGTGTGTGTGTGTGTTTGTGCTCCAGAGATGCAGTCAGGAGATGGGCATCCACTCTCTCCTCCACAGTGTGGTCCTTCTGATGGACCCACTCGCTGTTGCACTTGCTGGTTCAGTGGGAGGTGTTCTTACTGTTCCTGTAAGGAGACCAGACCTGTCACTGGCCAGGTAACTATTACTACTATTTGAACCAGAATGAATAAAAACTGACATTTCAAATACAAAAGGCACAGCTGCTGTTTTGACATTTTTATTATGTTTG